ATGGAAATTTAATAAATCAATTGAATTTGAATTGTTAAATTTTATAAATGTACTACTTAGTAAAATTAAAAACTTGTACTTTAAAATGCATTTAAATAGTTGTTAGAATATGTCATTTTATTTTCTAGTTAAATGATCTGATCTGTTTAATATTTAAGCCTAATAGCATAATTAATTTTGAGTATGTTCTCACAGACTTGGATGTAAAAGTCAATAAACAGACCCTTGCCACTTGTGTGAAGTGGCTATTTAACCATGAAATAAACTATTTTTATTGCCATTGCCCTGTGGATATATTCTTTCTGGCAGTGCTGTCCATATTTGGTGGCTGTGCATGGAGAGCCAGGTGGTGCTGAAAAGCATCGCACAGTGAAGCGTGGATATATCTAGGTTCGACATTTGTCATCCCTTACTGCTGAAGGGAAGGGTAAAATCTGTTTTTCCATATGTTTATGCTTTTTTTTCTTGCCCGCAGTTTTGTCCAGATGGTCTTATGAACATTGTTTACTTTAGGATGCTGTCCCAGATGTTTTGAAAACTGATGGGTAAATGTGGTACAGAGATTTGCATGTTACAGTTTTAAAAAATGCTGTTTGTTCTTGTAAGAATAAAATTTATTTCTGGAAAAATAAAACATTTATTCCAAGTGAATGATAAATACTGTAAAATACAAAAACATATATGTGTATATGTATATATGTTGTATGGTTAATATAATCTATATAGTTTATTTTCCCCAACATTTTTTCATGTTAATTAGCAAAAAAACATTATGGCAATGTTAAGTATAAGAAGTACTTTTGAGGAGTCATTTTTTCAGGGTTACATACACCTAAATATGTAAGACTCTTGCCTCCCAATCTTTTATAATTCTCATTGTGCATGAATCACTGAAGAGAAATTAGGTGGTAAAATGACAATAGATTTATAGTCAAAAGATTGTCTTTAAGACTTTGGGCAAATTACTTAACATGTTGGAGACTGAGTTTTGTAAATGTAAAATCAGAGTAACAACCTTGCCCAAAAAGATGGACTAATGCTTGGATTTAATTACTCTATCATCTTTAATCTCTTAACAATCACTATGAAGCCATCTAGTGGCAATTGCTGTTAATGAGAGCTGAAACCTGCTTTAGGCTCTACTTGGGATCTCAGTATAATTAAGAGGTAGACTGCTCTTATTCCCAAACCCAGCCGGGATCCATATGGGGCCTCCTCTTGTTTGCGTAGTGCTTCCTTTTTTTTTTTTTTTAAATGTTTATTTTTGAGAGAGCGCGCGTGAGCAGGGGAGGGACAGAGAGAGAGAGGGAGACACAGAATCTGAAGCAGGCTCCAGGCTCTGAGCTGTCAGCATAGACCCCAGTGCAGGGCTCGAACCCACGGACCATGAGATCATGACCTGAGCCTAAGTCAGATGCTTAGCTGACTGAGCCACCCAGGCACCCCTTGTGTAGTGCTTCTTAACCACTGACTGGCTTTTTTCATTTGCTTTCACATTTGCTTGCAGGTTGGAATATTGTCTTTGCTTTTTTTCCTGCTTTTCCTTTTCTCCATTGGCTGGCCTCTGCATGTCAGTGACTTCTCCATTGATTGTACCAGCCTTTGCCCCCAAGCTTTAGTATGGGATTTAATTCTTATCACATGTTTTAATATATGGAAGACAGGAGAAGAGATCTATCTTGCTAGTTCTTTTCTGTGTTAACCCAGAACTCTAGGGTTGTGATAAGATGTTACCACATGTTAAAAAGAAAAGCCACAGTGGCGCCTGGGTGACTCAGTTGGTTAAGTGTCCGACTTTGACTCAGGTCATGATCTCATGGTTTGTGGGTTCAAGCCCTGCATTGGGCTCTGTGCTGACAGTGTGGAGCCTGCTTGGGATTCTCTCTCTCTCTCTCTCTCTCTCTCTCTCTCTCTCTCTGTACCCCTCCCCCACTCTCGCTTTCTCTCTCTCTCAAAATAAATAAATTTTAAGCAAAGAATTAGCTGAAAGAATACAATTAAGAAAAGCCAAAAAGATAGGAGAACCACAGTCAACATAAAAGGCAAGTTCATATTAGCAATTCAGAAAATCCAGTTAGAAATAAGAGATAAACTTGAAGGGGGGAAAAAACCAGGAAGTTATAGGAAATGATTAAAAGTGAGGACGTATAAACAACGGACATGAAGAATAGCTTATGAAGATCTGGATTTTGGCACAAATAATTCTCTGGTCTGTCTTCACACACTTACATAGTGCTTACCTTGCTGGGTACTTTGCAGATAGCAGCTCTTCATTTAATCTGAAAACATTATAAGAAAATGTGTTGGGGCACCTGGGTAGCTCAGCTGGTTGAGCATCTGACTTTGGCTCAAGTCATGATCTTGCGGTTCGTGAGTTTGAGCCCCGTGTCAGACTCTACTGACAGCTCAGAGCCTGGAGCCTGTTTTGGAATCTGTGTCTCCCTCTCTCTGCCCCTCCCCAATTCATGTTCTGTCTGTCTGTCTCTCTCTCAAAAAATAAGTATTAAAAAAAAAAGAAAGAAAATGTGTTAATAACCCCCCTCGATTGATGCCTTTTTTTGGCAAAAGTCACAGGTGCCAAGTCAAACCTTATTTGAACCAACAGGGTGTGCATGACATCAGTCTGCCCTTACCCAAGATTAAAGTTTCTCTTTATGGTGTTTGCTGCCTGCTTCTGTCCCTGAACACAGAGCTACCTCCAGCATCTGTTCATCTTCCTCAGTGCTGTCATATAGAAGGGTAGGATGGGAGGGGATGTCTTAACTTACTCTTAAGAACTCATCAGAAGCTGGGGTGCCAGGGTGGCTCAGTCGGTTGGGTGGCCAACTACAGCGCAGGTCATGATCTTGCGATCTGTGAGTTCGAGCCCCGTGTCGGGCTCTGTGCTGAGAGCTAGGAGCCTGAAGCCCGCTTCCGATTCTGTGTCTCCCTCTCTCTCTGCCCCTTCTCTGCTTGCTCTCTGTCTCTCTGTCTCTCTCTCAAAAATAATAAACAATAAGGAAATTAAAAAAAACTCATCAGAAGCTTAGAGGGCCAAGTTTCTACTGGATCTCCTGTTTAATCTGGTACATTTTTCATTTACATTAAATTTTTATTATGGATGTTCTCGCCAACATCACAGCCCTGTGGAAGAAAGAGTAGAGACGTTTTCTGATCCCCACCCATCTGGGGAGATAGCCAAATATTTAAAAGTTAATTAGCAATGCAAGACATTATATCAGTATTAGATGAATAAAATGTATAATTGTGAAGAATTACAAAATCTGAAAGTTGAAAGGAATTTAAAATAATATTTCAGTTAAAACCAAAAGATTGGAGAACTTGGCAATTTCCCATCAAACTTCAAATTATATTTTGATTCAGAAAATAATGTGCTGTTAATATGTATGATCAATCATGTCAGTTAATGTTAGAAATTATTCATTTTCATATTGTTTTTAAACATGATGAATTGATATTATAATGCTCAAATCTGTATTAATTATACAAATCAGTGAGCCCAAAACATGCACTTATATGCCAAACATATAGGTGTTTTTTTTTGTTTTTTTTTTTGTTTTTTTTGCATCTAAGGCATGTCCTAGCTTTCTTAAAGAGCTGCACCACAGAGTCACTATAAAAACACAAAAGTCCCATCAGTTTAATAATAATGAAAAACTCCAAAAATGGCAAACTGAGGGGGCAGGGAAGAGGCCCATAGGCCAGGGGCACAGGAACCCTGCTCATGGCATTTGGCCTGGCCACAGGGCCCTGGTCCCTGGTGTTTTACTTTTTTATAATATAGTTATTAATTTTTTAAACTTTTTATTTTCACAATTTCAAACTTACAGAAAAGTTGCAAGAATATAAAAAAATGCCACCATCTGGTGATTTTCCAGTTCCATCATTTCTTCTATTTATTAGTTGGCATTCTCTTGTAAGGAAAAGTTTTTCTCTTTTCCTCCCGTTTAAAAAACCTATTATCCATTCAGATCTATTCTCATTTTGCTCAGTGAATAATAAACTATTAGTACCCTTCTTTATTTTGATATTCAAATTTTCCCAGATTGGACCAGTGGGAACTTACTCAAAATGGTGTGTATTTTGACATACTCATCAGTTTTTTTGAACACTTCCTTATTTTCTAGCACAATAAAAATGTTATAGGTTTATTTTGTTTCTTTGCTGCCCCAGGTTTAGGATCAGGAGTCTTGATTTCTTTATTATTTTTTTCAATGTTTATTTATTTTTGAGAGAGAGAGATAGAGACAGAGCATGAGTGGGAGAAGAACAGAGAGAGACATAGTATCTGAAGCAGGCTCCAGTCTCTGAGCTGTCAGCCCGGAGCCCGATGTGGGGCTCAAACCTACAAGCTGTTGAGATTATGACCTGAGCTGAAGTCAGACACTTAACTGACTGATCCACCCAGGCACCCCAAGGAGTCTTCATTTCTTTTTGTGGGGAATGGTATTTAGGAACCAAGATCTGGATGTTCTTTCCTTATTTTTGTTACTTTATTCTTTTTTAATTTTTAATTCATCTGGAATTCATTCTTCATTATGGTATGAGGTACAGATGTGTATGTCAAAATGAAAAATTATTTAGTAGGAGGATACCAACTGGAGACATTTATTTGTCCCTGACATCACTTCAGGGACAGTGATTCAAGGGGAAATGTTACTTAATTTTAAGTAATATATTTAAATTATTTTATTTTATTTTTTTTATTTAAAAAAAATTTTTTTTTTCAACATTTATTTATTTTTGGGACAGAGAGAGACAGAGCATGAACGGGGGAGGGGCAGAGAGAGAGGGAGACACAGAATCGGAAACAGGCTCCAGGCTCTGAGCCATCAGCCCAGAGCCTGACGCGGGGCTCGAACTCACAGACCGCGAGATCGTGACCTGGCTGAAGTCGGACGCTCAACCGACTGCGCCACCCAGGCGCCCCTATTTAAATTATTTTAAATGATGGTTATTGAATTTTATATCTTATGTCAGTTATGTTTTCTCTAACTTAGGTGCATTCTCTAGAATCTTAAAACTTTGTGAAGAAAAATATGAAGCAGGTGAAAAAAAGAAAGGAAGAAAAGGCAACAGTGTAACACCTGTGAAAGGAATTACAAATTTAGGAAATACTTGCTTTTTCAATGCAGTCATGCAGGTAAGAGCCATCAGGAAACTTTGTAAAATGTAAAAGATTAATTTATATTTATTGGCACACCTGTAAACTAGCAAATGACAGCTAAATGTTCCCCTGGAGATTTTTCTGTTTTCTTTTTTGTTTTAGGCCATCGTTAACCATTGCTGCATAACGTATGTATGCCCCCTTTTCACACAGTGCTTCTGGAAGGCCTTCTCTGTGTTTTACTGTGATTTAATCAGTAATACTGACATTTACTAAATGTGAACATTTTTTTTGTAAACTTAAACATTTTTTTGCTATGTTAGATGACGTTTGAGAGCTTAAGAGAGTATTTTTTTTTTAATTTTTTTTTTCAACGTTTTTTATTTATTTTTGGGACAGAGAGAGACAGAGCATGAATGGGGGAGGGGCAGAGAGAGAGGGAGACACAGAATCAGAAACAGGCTCCAGGCTCTGAGCCATCAGCCCAGAGCCCGACGCGGGGCTCGAACTCACGGACCACGAGATTGTGACCTGGCTGAAGTCGGACGCTTAACCGACTGCGCCACCCAGGCGCCCAAGAGAGTATTTATTCCATAGAATCAGAGGCATATTACAACTGAATCAGAAGACTTTACTTTTGTTTTCTTTTAGAACTTGGCACAATCTTATATTCTTTCAGAACTGATGAATGAGAGCAAAGAAAATGGTACAAAACTCAAGATTTTTCCTTCCTCAGACTCTCACCTGGTAAGAAGTATGACTGCCTGGATAATAGCTCTTTTTAGATGAGCCACTGATGGTGTCAAAATCTACCTTTAGTATTTCTCCGAATGTTAACTGAAATGATGTTTTGAAAAAATATTTTGAAAAAATCATTCAAAAGCATTTTGTGAAATAATCAGATTTTAAAATTCTGAAGTTAAACCTTCAAGATCTGTTAGGGTTCAAACATATCGTGGGTCAAACAATACAAAAATATTAAGGCAGCTTTCAAACAAATATACTGGAAAAAACAAAAGGCGTTTGTTTTGTTGAGCAAAATGTCTAGGACTCCTGTTTTGTAATTACTGGTAACATTTCCTTAAATATAGCATTTTAATTCTTTAAAAGTAGATTTGGTATTAATGGTGAACATCTAAAGGTTTTTAGGAGCCTAGTCTGAAAATGGGTTTTTAAGCTAGTAAGAAAGGAAAAAACAAACAAACAAAAAACAGCACTTAACATTCAGAAGCTGGCGTGGCACCTACAGTTAGGCCATATTGTTCAAACAGTCTCACGGAATGCCAGCCTCAGGCTAGGTTGCTCTGAGACTGACAAACTAAGACAAAGCAAGGCTACTTCATAATTTTATCTAAACATAGACAAAAGCAAAGTTCGTCTACCACTGAGAAAAATCCCAAACATCTTCTTTGACCAAAGTGAGAGACTGCTACTTCTTTACTAGTTATAGCTTTATCCTTGATTTTGTCTCCCAAAGAGACTAGAATTTAGGTTATCCTAACTCAAAGATAAGATTTATCAAGATACCCAGTGATAGAATTACCCCCACTTTCTGACGGCATTCAACTGAGAGCAGACTTCTGCTTCCTTAGACTCTCCCCTAAATTACTTATCCAAAACTCAAATCCTCTATCAGTTCTTTCCAACACCCTTTTATTGAGACACCCCATGGTTTCCCATCGTGTATGTTGTCCCCAAATGCAACAAGTAATAAACCCCTCTTGTTCAACTACCAGTGTGTTCCTGGTGGTCTTTGGCTTGAGGGAGCTGACACTAGTAATAAAGTTTTTAGTTAGAAATTGTGTGTGTGTGTGTGTGTGTGTGTGTGTGTGTGTGTGTGTGTGTGTGTGTGTGTATTGGAGGAAGACAGTGTATATATAGCTCATGATCTGGCTTTTGAGAACACTTAAGAAAGGGGAGTTCTAAAAATTCTTAGCTCAGTGTAGTAATCTTAGATTTTTCTTTTCCCCAAGGAGGCAGATTTGAAAGACGATATTGTATTTCTTTGTTGAAAGAGCAGCCTGTAAACTTACTGCCTGTTCAACCCCTTAAAATCTTTATGGTAGGTCCTATACTCTTCTAAAGTTGAGTGAGATAGTGAAAACCATTAAATGGAAGTTGATACTTAGTCACTTGAAAAGATTTCCTATTAAATGTGATTGAATGTTAAGTATTTTACATGTAGAACTGTGTCTCAAGATTATTATAGGGCAGTTAGATGCTATAACTGATCACTTTAGGTTTGCATTATTCTAAGAGGAGAGTTTCAATCTTAGATCTTAGATACATAGGACATACAGTTGACCTGAGCTGGAGGGCTGTCAGTGTAGATCACTGCTCTTTGAATCACCAGTTTTACTTTGCCCTTTGTAAACTGTATGCCTTTTGTTTCTTTTCTTTACCTTACTGTGCTGGCTTGAACCTCTAATAACATGTGGAATAGAAATGATGAAAGCAGGCATCCCTGCCTACAATCCCCAAATTAGGGGGAAAATATTCTTTCAATAACATTAGGAATGAAGTTAACTGTAGGTTTTTCATAGGTGTTCTTTTTTGTTTATTAATATCTGAAAGTTTGTACCTTTTGACCTCATTCACCCATTTTACCTACCCCCTCACTCCCTGGCTCTGGCAGCCACCAATCTCTTCTTTGTGTCTATGAGCATGTTTGTTTGTTTGTTTGTTTGTTTGTTTTTGGGTGTTTTGTTTTAAATTCTACATGTAAGTAAGTTCATATGGTATTTGTCTTTCTCTGTCTGACCTATTTCAATTAGTATGCCCACAAGGTCCATCCATGTTGTTTGCAAATGGTAGGATTTCATTCTTTTTTATGGCAGAATAACATTCCATTGTATAAGTATACTACATATTCTTTATCCATTCATCAGTTGATGGATACTTAGGCTGCTTCTATAATTTGACTATTGTAAATAATGCTGCAATAAACATAGGGGTGTGTGTATCCCTTTGAATTAGTGTTTTTATATTCTTTTTAAAACATTTTTTAATATATTTGTTCATTTTTGAAAGACAGAGAGCACAAGCAGGGGTGAGGCGGAGAGAGAGGGGGACACAGAATCTGAAGCAGGCTCCAGGCTCTGAGCTGTCAGCACAGAGCCCGACATGGGGCTCAAACGCACGGACCATGAGATCATGACCTGAGCTGAAGTCGGACCCTCAACCAACTGAGCCACCCATGAGCCCCTAAATTTTTTTTTTAATGTTTTTATTTATTTCTGAGAGAGAGAGAGAGAGAGAGAGAGAGAGAGAGTGAGCGAGCACGAGCAGGGAGAGGGGCAGAGAGGGAGGCACAGAATCCAAAGCAGGCTTCAGGCTCCGAAGCTGTCAGCACAGAGCCTGATGCGGGGCTCAAACCCATCAACAGTGAGATCAAGGCCTGAGCTGAAGTCAGATACTTAACAGACTGAGCCACCCTGGCATCCCAGTGTTTTTGTATTCTTTAGGTAAATACCCAGTTGAGTGATTACTGGATCATATGGTAGTTCTATTTTTAACTTCTTGAGGAACCTCCATACTGTCTTCCAGAGCGCCTGCACTAGTTTGTATTTCCACTAACAGTGCACAAGGGTTTCTTTTTCTCCACATCCTCACCAGCAGTTTTTTCTTTTATTTTTGATTTTAGCCATTCTGACATGTGTGAGGTAATATCTCATTGTAGTTTTGATTTGCATTTCCCTGATGATGAATGATGTTGAGCATCTTTTCATGTGTCTGTTGGCCATCTGGATGTCTTCTTTGGAGAAATGTCTGTTTATGTCTTCAACATGGCAGAGAGCACTTTTGATACTCAGAGACTATGGAAAAATTATAGCCTGTCCTTTCTGTGGTTTTAGTCAGATGGTAGATTTAAAAAAAAAAAAAAATTTTTTTAATGTTTATTTTTGAGAGGTGGGAGGGAGAGGGGCAGCAAGAGAGGGAGACACAGAATATGAAGCAGGATCTAGGCTCCAAGCTGTCATCACAGAGCCTGATACAGGGCTCGAACCTATGAACCGTGAGATCATGACCTGAGCTGAGGTCAGATGCTCAGCCCACTGAGCCACCCAGGTGCCCCAGATGGTAGATTTTTTTTTAAGGGTAGTTGGTATGAAATATATATGTAACATGTATTTCATAAATACACGAATGAGGCAACATATTTGGTAGTTGTATTAGAAGATCACTTTCTATAATGTCCCAAGATGATATTTGGCATTTGCTTTTAATTCATTGTTTGTAAGGAGAGAGGATTACTGGTGAAGATAACATTTTAGAAAGCAAAACTTGGTGGGGGAAAAATTTTAGAATAAAATGGGTTTCTCCCTCACACAATTTTAGCTGCTTTTGTCAAGCTTTTTCTCTCCATTTTAAAAGAGAGGGAATGGTGTACTAATTTTGTGACATAATTTCCCATTCCTTATTTTATTCATAAAATGTTTTGGGAAAAGAAAGCTATGGAGTTTGCTAATAAATATAATTTATCATTATATTTGATAAATATAATTTATTAAATATAATTTATGATTGGAAATAAATACATATCAAGTAGATAAGTAATTTCACTTTTAGGAAAGCACATTAAGGGACATTTATAAGCAACTAAATATTGGTGATTTAACTCTTAAACTAATACTTTCATTAAGTAAAGAGCAGAGGATATGAGAATACCTGTGTTTTTCAAGGTAAGACACTTAATTCCATTATCCCATTTTTTTAAACATTCATTTTATATGTGTGGGAATAAAGTTTCGTAATGCACTTGAGGCAATTTAGTTGTCATCATTTAAACAAAGTATAACTCTTAGTTTTTAATAATATTTAAGTTTAAAATTGCATATTTCTGACAAAGAGTTGATCATGTTTTTAAAGGACCCATTAATGGTGGAACTTTCAAGCCCTGGACCATTGACCTCAGCCCTGTTCCTGTTTCTTCATAGCATGAAGGAGACTGAAAAAGGACCACTTTCTCCTAAAGTTCTTTTTAATCAGCTTTGTCAGAAGTGGGTGCATCTAAATTTTTGATATAAATAATTATGAGTTATAAAATTCTAATGTATCACTTAATATGGGTAGTTTCACTCTTACTATAACACTATTATTGTCTAGACTCTCAAGAGATTCAGAACTAATATTTGTTTAATTGCAGCTGTGTGCTTTATGTAAATTATATCTCATAATACTCTGAAGAAGTGCTTGTTTATCCCCATTTTATAAATAAGGAAACTGAGACTCACAGAAGTTGAGTAGCTTACTTAGCTGTATAGTGACAAAGCCAGGATTCAAATAGAGGTCTGTCCTGATTCAGAAGCCCATGATGTAAGAACAAAGAGTAAGAAAACTATAGAATTGTAAAATCTAAAAGGTGCCATAATAGGTCATCTGAACCTAGTTTTCTTATTTTTACTTTTATTATCATTTTTAAGTATACTCAACCTGCAATATGGGGCTCAAGCTCATGACCCCAAGATCAGGACTTGCATGCTCTACCAACTGAGCCAGCCAGGTGCCTTCCTTATTTTTATCATTTTTAAAAAAAATGTTTATTATTTTGAGAGAGAGAGAGAGAGGCAGAGAGAGGGAGAGAGAGAATCCCAAGCAGGCTCTAGGCTGTCAGCGCAGAGCCTGAAATAGGGCTTGATCTCATGAACCGTGAGATGACTACCTGAGCCAAAATCAAGAGTCAGACGCTTAACTGACTGAGCCACCCAGGTGCCCCTTTCCTTAGTTTTAGAAATGAGCTTCAAGGCAAATAGAGTTTAAATGAATTTCTCAAGATAGTACTGTATGTTCAAAAACAAAATCCTTGGGTACGTGGAAATACATACATACCATAAAGGACCTGATGCAACTTTAATGCTTTCACTTATTCCTTCATCTGAAAAAATTGAGAACTGGGGTGCCTGGGTGGCTCAGTCGGTTAAGCGTCCGACTTCAGCTCAGGTCACGATCTCACTGTTCGAGCCCTGCGTCGGGCTCTGTGCTTACTGCTCAAACCTGGAGCCTGTTTCAGATTCTGTGTCTCCCTCTCTCTCTGACCCTCCCCCATTCATGCTCTGTCTCTCCCTGTCTCAAAAATAAATAAAAACGTTGAAAAAAAAATTTTTTTTTAAAAATTGAGAACTTATTTGTGTCAGTTACTTGCTAGATTCTAGGGATACACAGTGTATAACATATTAAAAATAGATCCTGTCATGGAGTTCATGAGCTAGTCCAGTCCACAATTACTAAAATATGTAGAAACAAAATTCTTTAAATGGGAACTTAACATTTTTTTATATCTCTAGGCTTCAAAATTTCATTTTAATTTAAGCTAGTTACTTGTGCCATGGCATTATATTGTATTTTAGCTCATAGAATTGTACCAAGGTTAATTTTTTCAAAAATAATTGTGAAAAGAACACTTACCATGAGCTCTACCTTCTTAAATTTTTTCTTTTTTTCTCTTGAAGTTATTTATTTATTTTGAGAGAGAGAGAGAGAGGTGTGGGGGAGAGAATCTTAAGCAGGCTCTGTTACAACAGCACAGAGCCCAACTTGGGGTTTGATCCCACCAGCTGTGAGATCATGACCTGCTTTGAAACCAAGAGTTGGAGACTTAACCTACTGAGCTACCCAGGCACCCCTGCCATCTTAAAATTTTTAAGTATACAGGGGCACCTGGGTGACTTAGTCGATCAAGCATCCAACTTCGGCTCAGGTCATGATTTCGTGGTTTGTGAGTTCAAGCCCGATGTTGGGGGCTGTGCTGACAGCTGACAGCTTAGATCCTGGAGCCTGCTTCAGATTCTGTGTCTCCCTCTCTCTGTCCCTCCCCTGCTTGCACTCTGTCTGTCTCTCTGTCTCTCTTTCTCAAAAAATAAACATAAAAAATATTAAGAAATAAATAAACATTAAAAAAATTTAAGTGTACAAAATATTGTTGACTGTAGGTGCAATGCTGGACAGGAGATCTCTAGAGCTTGTCCATCTTGCTTGACTAAAACTTTATGCCTATTGATTATTCCTATTTTTCCTTCACTCCAGGCCCTAGTAGACAACATTGTGCTCTTTTATTTTATGAATTTGACTATTTTAGGTTCTTCATATAAATGGAATCACACTATTTGTCTTTCTGTGACTGGCTTATTTCACTTAGCATACTGTGCCGTGGTATTTTGAATGTGGTCAAAAATATAGAGGATTTATTATGTGTTTAATTTAGTAGGCAAATGCTGTTTTTCAAAACCTGAAGAACAGAAAGTCCCATAAAAGTCTCAGAGACTTTGGTGCCTCACAGAGTTCAAAAGTTTTTAGGAATTTATGTCAATTAGAAATTTGTTTTTGGATCTCCAAAAATAACTGTTTTGCATTTTTTTTTTTGTTTTATAAAGATTTATAAATTAAAAAAATGTTTAAATAATAGGTGTTTATGGATAGACATTCAAAGTAGTATTTATCTTATTTTTTTCAAAAGTGATTATGCATACACAGACATATACACAGATTGTTTGCAACTTGTTTTGCTTAATACATTTTTTATATTTTTCCATTTTAGTGCATGTGGGTATGACTTACTTGATTTTACGTGTGTGTGTGCTGCACTTGTGAGAGTACATCAGTAGGATATATAGAATTACTGGATCAAACATCATTTGAAAATATTAAAAATTGCCTTTTGTTTTTTATGTTTACTTTAAAAAGAGATGTATATTGGGTGGCTCAGTTGGTTGAGCATCCGACTTCGGCTCAGGTCATGATCTCGCGGTTCGTGGGTTTGAGCCCTGCATCAGGCTCTGTGCTGAACACTTGCTCAGAGCCCAGAGCCTGCTTCAGATTCTGTGTCTCCTTCTCTCTCTGCCCCTCCCCCGCTCACACTCTATCTCACTGTGTCTCTCAAAAATCAATAAATGTAAAAAAAAATTTTTTTTAAGAGATACATATTAAGAAAAGTAATTTTTAAAAACCTGGTGAAGATTTGAGCCATGTATGTTGAGTCTGTTTTGGGACTTTGTTCTGTTCCATTGATCTGCATGTCTATTCTTACCCCAGTCCTCCACTGTGTCAATTACTGTAACTTTATAGTAAGTCTTGGAATTGGAGAATGAGAGTTCAAACTTTTACTTTTTTTTTAAACTATTTCAAGTCCTTTGTTTTTTCACATGAATTTTACAATCAGTTTGTTAATTGGGATTGCATTTGGAGATCAGTTTAGAATGGACATCTTAACCATGTTGTGTTCCAAAGCATGATTATGACATATGTTTTCAGTTATTTAGGTATTTGATTTTTCTCATCAAGTTTTGTGATTTTCAGCTTACAAATGCTACACAATGTTGTTAGATTTACCTTTAGAATTTCATGTTTTTAAATACTATTTATTGTAAATTGGTACTTTAAAGAAATTTCAATTTCCAGTTGTACGTTTCTAATATACAGAAATATACTTGGTTTTTGTATATTGATCTTGTTTCTTGCTGCTTTGTTTAATTCATTTACTGGTTATAATAGCTTCATGTAGATCTTTTGGGATTTCCTATGTAGACAATAATGTCATTGGTAAATAAAGACCATTTTATTTCTTCCTTTAAAATTTGTATCCTTTTAGACCTTTTTCTTTATATAGCTGGCAAGGACCTCCAGTACAATGTTGGAGTGGTGAAATATGCATCTTTGCTTTGTTTCTGATATTAGGGGAGGAACATTCAGTCTTTCACACATAAGTGTGATAGCAGCTGTAGGTTTTTCGTAGATGCCTTTCATCAGGTTAAGGAAATTCCCATTCCTAGTTTTTTCTGAGGATTCTCATCAAGAATAACAGTATTTGATAAACTCCCAATACCCAATTTTTCCTTAAAAAACAACAAAACTTTATTATTTAAATAAATAAACATTATGTATTACCATTGGTATACTTTGATTCCTGGCCCAGAGAAACCATGAGATAATAAATGTTTTTTTCTTTTAAGAAAAAAGAACGGGTATTGGATTTTATTAAATGCTTTTCCTGCATCTATTGAAATAATCATATGGGTTTTTAAAAATCTGTTGAAACAGTGAATCGTATTAATGGGTGTTCTGAATAGTTTGTATATTTGACATACATTAAGCTGTACATATTTAAAGCATACCATTGGATAAGTTTTGAGATACTATATATATATACGTATAATGTATATCTACATACTTGTGACACCATTGCCACAATCAGTGTGATCAATGTATGCATCACCCCTAAAAGTTTTCTTGGGCCCTTTTGTGATCCCTCTCTCTGGACTGTCTCCCCTAAGCCCCTCCCCTCTGTACCACTTACCTGTTTTTGTCACTGTAGATTCGTTTGCATGTTTTAGATTCCTATATATAGTGTGTACTCTTTTTTGTCTGGCTTCTTGCTATAATTATTTTGAGATTCATCTACATTGTGTGTATACATTACTTGATTTTTGAAAGTTGAACCGTCTCTTGTAGTTTCTATTGTAAGAGTGATTATCAGACATTTCTACCACTTGTGAATGTTGGGAGCAAATTCTTCAACTTTCTTCTGGATTCCCCACCCACCCCACTTCTTGTTATTTTGCAGTAGTTTTAAGGATCACAAGAAGTTGAAATAAGAGTACAGAGTTACTGTGTACCCTTTATTTAGCTTCCACTATCAATAATAACTTAAACAACAGTGCATTGTCAAAACCAGGAAATTGACATTAACACAATACTGTCAACTCTCCTACAAATCTTTCTTGGATTTCACCAGTTTCTACATGCATTCTTCCTTAAAAGGTTCAAAGATGCTCTAGAGTGATCGTTTCTTTATACTCATTTATGCCCATCTTTTGCTTTGTTTACTCCTTCACTCTTTTATGTTGGTAACTAATATTGATGTGCTGAGCTTTCTTTGGGTTTTGTCCATGAGGAAATATATATGTATGTGTGTGTGTGTGTATATATGTGTGTGTGTGTGTGTGTATGTATATATACAAATATGCATGTGTATGCATATGTGTGTACACATACATGTATATACACACACACTACAAATATATATGTGTATACACATATGCATACATATACATATTTGTAGTTTTGTGATACTCTATGGTATGTCATGTACATTAAGGAGTGCCACCAAATTCTCAAAATACTATTATCTTCTAATTTACTGGTTTGCCCTTCAACTGTGTATAGAATTTATCCTATCTATTGATTTTTATATCTGTAGTTTTATTTTATTCTAATATTTTCAATTGGCTATCTTATCAATATCTACATATCCCTTAAAAAAGTTTTTCTTTTTGGGGCGCCGGGGTGGCTTAGTCAGTTACGCGTCTGACTTCAGCTCAGGTCATGATCTCATGGTTCATGAGTTCCAGCCCCACATCAGGCTCTGTGATGACAGCTCAGAGCCTGGAGCCTGCTTTAGATTATGTGTCTCCCTCTCTCTTTGCCCTGCCCCACTCGTGCTCTCTTTCTCTCTCAAAAATAAATAAACTTAAAAAAAAAAGTTTTTCTTTTTTACCTAATATCTAGGCTTTTATTGGCATGCCTTTATGTTTTTGTACATTCTCAACATATTGTAACATCTTTGGATCAGTTTTATAAAATTTATTTGGAGTGAAGTAAATGCATTTCAGTTGTTGATTTTTTAACATCAGATTTCTTTGTGTTTTATGATATTGGTTTGTAGGCTTCTTGGGAGTAGAATTTTTTGTTTGTTTTTTCCCATTCTTTCCCCCTTTGCTTTCTTCCATTTCCTCCACCCTTCCTTGTTTCCCCTGCTGCCTTTTTCACATCCTCTCCCTTCCATAGCCTCTTTTCCTCATATCCCTCTCTTCTCTGCCTAAAAATGTCAAATTTTAAGATAGCCTTACCTCTGAACTCTGGGCTGGCCTTGGAGATTGAGGTCTTGTATTGGCTTACAGTTACTCTGCTGCCCTCATCTGGGGGAGGTGAGAAGAATCTATAGAAGGTTTGGCCTGGTTTCAGGTCTCTAGGCTAAGTATGTGTTCTCTTGTAGCCTTAGTTAGTATTTGCCTAAGAGCTTCCTTTCAGGCTCTTGATAAGGTTGACCATCCACATATTTGTGGGTTCATTTCTGGGTTCTCTATTCTGTTCCATTTATCTATGTGTCTGTTCCTGTGTCAGTATCATACTGTCTTGATGATTACAGCTTTTGAATACAGCTTGAAGTCTGGAATTGTGATACCTCCAGCTTTGGTTTTCTTTTTCAGGATTGCTTTGGCTATTCAGAGTCTTTTGTGGTTCCATACAAATTTTAGGATTGTTTGTTCTAGCTCTGTGAAGAATGTTGGTGTTATTTTGATAGGGATTTCATTGAATATATAGATTGCTTTGGGTATTACAGATTCTTTAAGTCCTCTTAGAATTTTTGACCCAGTCCTAGGTAGAAGAAGAAAGAAAAAAAAAATCTAGGTTTGTTTGTTTATTTATTTTCAAGTTAGTTAACATATATGTCGTATTGGTTCCAGGAGTAGAATTTAGTGATTTGTCATTAATTTTCTTGAATGGTTTAGAAGGCAGTAACTGGTCTGTGGATAGTTGAGATGGAGCTGTAGGCAGAGACGTGGTAGAGAAAGTTTCTCCTTTGTTCAGGAACAATTTCCTTCCTGTGCATCTGCTTTGAAAGCCACAGACTGTTCCTCCTACCTGCAACATGGCAGATGAGGATCCCTGAAGGATTCCCGTTTGCCCCTTGCAATCTTCTTCCACTTCACTGAACTTCCTTGATGCCTACAGCACAAATGTCATGTCATGCAGTTTCTGCCTTACATGGATTCCAGCCATGGAAGCCCAGATAGGGGTGAGAAATGTGTCCATCTTGGTTTCTGTCCTCTTCTCTGATCTAGAAGGTGATCTATATCCACCAAATGCAGAAAGGGAAGCCCACAAGGGCAGTAAATCAAAGTTCTCAGCATCCTTTTGCTTTTGCTACTACTTAACAAGAGTGAATAAATGAAATTACGGTTCCTATTATAGGCTAGATTCACTGCTAGTTCAGATAGCTTTTTAGCACCAGGGACTCTCATTAGTGCATTACTAGAATGAATGTTTATTATGAGATAATAAAGAATAAGGCTTGAAGTACTGGACTCAAGAATCAAAAGACTTGGATTTACGTCAGTGGCACACAGATTGTTCTTCAGTTTTCTCAAGTGTAAAACAGTTCATCTTAACTGATTTCTTAACAGCACTGTTGTGCATATCAAATGAGATATGTTGGACATACCACAAGGAGAACATTGTAAACTTGTACTACAATAAGATATTCTTACTATTTTATATTACTTTGACAAAATTCTTTCTTCATCTTAGATCAGAGCACTATCTAAATTTAGCACTTATTTTCATTTCATTTTAGTATTGGAATTTATTGCAGAAAATACTGTTTTTTAAAGTTAATGAAATCAACTAAATATTTGCTGTGTTGATGTCTCCATGTACAGCACCTGAACCTTTAATTAATACGAGGAAATTTAGTTGTTAAATCCTTAAAATAAATACATTCACAGAGATATCAGATTATTGTTCTTTATTTAAATGTAAATAACTTCTTGTTTTTCATTTGGTTATTCAGGGTAGGAAGATAATAGATCACAGTGGCTTGGGTTTGAGTACTATATTTTTGCTTGCTGTGTGACCTTGCAAATTATTTGAATAATCCCTCTGAGCCCTCTGTATAAGCTGGAGAAAATAGTGCATCCCAAGCTTGTTTGAGGATTGATCTATGTAAAGCTTAACATATGTACTATGCTTGCATGTAGTAGTCACTTGATAAATGACAGCCATATTATTCTTTTTTATTTTATTTATTTATTTCAAGAGAGAGAGAGAGGCAGAGAGAGGGAGAGAGAGAATCCCAAGCAGGTTCCATGCTATCAGTGCAGAGCACCATGTGGGGCTTGATCCCAAGAACCATGAGATTATGACCTGAGCCGAAATCAAGAGTCAGATGCTTAACCGGCTGAACCACCCAGATGGCCTGATAACTATATTATTTTCTGTGTACTGATGATCTCATCTTAATTGGAGCAGTGATCATATCTGCTCTTTTTACCTAGTGGTAAAAGGACTATATTGAATCTTTGAATATATGTTATTTAAAAATGATTTAGATGAGGGGCACTTGGGAGGCTCAGTTGGTTAAGCAATTGAGGTGTGTGAGATTGAGTCATATGTTGGGCTCTGGGCTGACAGCATGGAGCCTGCTTGGGATTCTCTCCCTTCTTTCTCTCTGCCCCTCCAGAGGGGCCCTGCATGCACACACATGCGCACACACACACTCTCTCTCAAATACATTAATCATGTAAACATTCAAAAAAATTATTTTTGATGATAGTAATATATTGTTGATGAAATTATCTTTTTTCTTTCCTGTTTTGTTTTTAAATCATAGGGCCCCTCGATTTAAAGGTTTCCAGCAACAGGACAGTCAGGAACTACTGCATTATCTGCTGGATGCGGTGAGAACAGAAGAAACAAAGGTCAGATTTCTTTAAATTGATTACATACACTCTTTTTTTTTTTAATTTTTTTTTTCAACGTTTATTTATTTTTGGGACAGAGAGAGACAGAGCATGAACGGGGGAGGGGCAGAGAGAGAGGGAGACACAGAATCGGAAACAGGCTCCAGGCTCTGAGCCATCAGCCCAGAGCCCGATGCGGGGCTCGAACTCACGGACCGCGAGATCGTGACCTGGCTGAAGTCGGACGCTTAACCGACTGCGCCACCCAGGCACCCCGATTACATATACTCTTTAAGAAGAGGGTAAAAAATTGAAGGAGTTAATTTTTACCATAATTTTAATATGGATTGAGAAGTAATTTGATTTTTTCTAACTATTCTATTCCTTTATTTATTTATTTTGGCCAGTTCTTCTAAAAGATTATTTTCTTTTATCCTTTTGCACCCCCCTTATCCTTTATTAGTTGATACCCTTTGACTGTAAATAACAAATTCAAGCTAGTTTAAATAAGGAAAAGGGAAGCTAAGAATCTAGGTGACAGGAGGTATGGGTAGGGATATAGGGACAGGAAGGTTCTCAAGAATCCAGAGAATATTCTCCTCATTTCCCTGGCTCTGTAGATTTTCTTTATTCATTTTCCTGCAAACTGAGTAGTTTCTCAGCTTCTGTCTCTGAATGATAGCACATGACCTTCATATTTTGCACATGTTGCAGTTCCACGTATATAAAACCAAAACTGGCTGTTTGTGAATCCCAACTCTGAAGAGAAACTCTGTTACCTCATGTTGGATTAGGATCCACTCAGGGATGAGTCACTGGTAACTAGGGGAATGGGATCCAAGCCTCCTGGATCAGGGAATGTTTCTGAGAAAAGAAAAAGTGGCTCATGGCCTGGATAGATTTCCCCAAACAGTGTCCATTGTCATCCTGTCCCTTTATCGATTGGGTGGTAGTTGCCTGTAATATTAAATGAGTTAAATTCAACTTTTTTGGTGGGGACCTATGAATGGGATACAAGTTTTCAGAGAAAATGCAAGGTATTAAAGCTGTCAAGTACACAGCACATATCCTTCATTTTTCCTCTATCACTCATAGCAGGACATTATTAATCATTCATAATGGTTCTGCTGAGTCTGGATTCAGGCTCGGAATCATTCTCAACCTATCGCTGCAGGCATGCTATCTCAATCATAATTGTCACAATAGGTGAAATCCTGTTTTCCATTCAAGGTAAATATACTTCTTAATTTATGTTAATATGTAGCAGAGCAACGATGTGAAAATGAAGTACTCCTATGCTTGTGATAGCTGTTACTGTGATACTAGGCAAGGTGGTTCCTCCTCTTTTTGTTTTGTAAAATCTTGAGGGGTGCTCAGTGGCTTAGTCAGTTAAGCATAGGACTCTCTATCTTGGCTCAGGTCATGATTTCACGGTTCGTGGGATTGAGCCGCAAGTTGGGCTCCATGCTGACAGCACGGAGCCTGCTTCAGATCCCCCTCCCTCTCTCTCTGCCTCTCCCCCACTTGTTGTCTCTGACTCTCTCAAAATAAATAAATAAACTTAAAAGAATGAAAAATAAAATCTCACCTCGACTTGTAGTATTGTGGTATTCTAGTTTTCAGTAAATAAATAGGGTTCTGTTATTTTCTTTTACCTTAATGAGTTAATCACTCCCTCCTGCTACAGTGTTTATTATAGTTCTGTTTTTAATTGGCTATTTATTGACCTCTATGTTACATTAGTTAAATTCAGCTTTTGAAGGTGTCAGTCCTTTTCTGCCATCTCTCTACTTGATATATGTATATATTTAAGTTATATGTATCTGCATTATATATATTTAAGTTTGTGTTTTAATTCGTTAGTTTTACAGTGTTACATTAGTTTCAGATGTACAATACAGTCATTCAACAATTCCATACATCATCTGGTGCTCAACACAGCAAGTGTGCTCCCTAATCCCCATCACCTGTCTCACCCACCCCGCCACTCACTTCCCCTCTGGTAATCATCAGTTTGTTCTCTGTAGTTAAGGCTGTTTCTTGTTTTCTCTTTTTATTTCCCCTTTGCTCATTTTGTTTCCTGAATTTCACACGTAAGTAAAATCATATGGTATTTTTCCTTCTCTGACTTACTTCGCTTAGTTCCCTCTCTAGTTCCATCCATGTTGTTACAAGTGGCAAGATTTCATTCTTTTCTATAGTGGAATAGTATTTCATTTTAGAAGTGTACCACATTTTCATTCATTCATTCATTCATTCATTCATTCATTAATGGACACTTGGGCTGCTTCTGTAATTTGGCTATTATAAATAATACTGCAAACATAGGGGTATGTGTATCTATTTGAATTAGTGTGAATTTTGTATTCTTTGGGTAAAGACCCAGCAGTGCAATTGCTGGATCATAGGGTATTTTTAACTTTTTGAGGAACCTCATCCAGAGTGGCTGCACCAGTTTGCATTCCCAACAGTACACAAGGGTTCCTTTTTCTCCACATTCTCGCTAATAGCTGTTGTTTCTTGTATTTTTTATTTTACCCATTCTGACAAGTGTGAGGTGATCTCATTGTAGTTTTGATTTGCGTTTCCCTAATGATGAATGCTGATGAGCATCTTTTCATGTGTCTGTTGGCCATGTGTATGAAGTCTTTGGAGAAATGTCTGTGTCTTTTGCCCACTTGGTAATTGGATTATTTGGGTTTTTTGGTGTTGAGTTATATCAGTTCTTTATACATCTTGGATACTAATCCTTTACGGGATATGTCATTTCCAAATACCATCTCCCATTCTGGAGGTTACCTTTTAGTTTTGTTGATTGTTTCCTTTACTGTGCAGAAGCTTTTTATTTTTATGTAATTCCAATAAGTTTATTTTTGTTTTTGTTTCTCTTGCCTCAGGAGATATATCCAGAAAGAAGTTGCTATGGCCGGTGTCAAAAAAGTTACCACCTGTGTTCTCTTCTGAGATTTTTGTAGTTTCAGATTTCACATGTAGGTCTTTAATCCATTTTGAATTCATTTTTGTGTATGGTGTAACAAAGTGGTCCAGTTTCATTCTTTTGCACATAACTGAACAACTTATCCAACACTATTTGTTGAAGAGACAGTCTTTTTCCTATCGGATATTCTCTCCTGCTTTGTTGAGGTTTAATTGACTGTATAATTGTGGGTTCATTTCTGGGCTTTCTATGCTGTTCCACTGATCTGTGTGCCTATTTTTTTGTGCCAGTACCATACTGTCTTAATGATTATAGCTTTGTAAAACAGCTTGAAGTCTGGAATTGTGATGCCTCCAGCTTCGGTTTTCTTTTTTAAAATTGCTTTGGCTCTTCGGGGCCTTTTGTAGTTCCATAAAAATTTTAGCATTGTTTGTTGTAGTTCTGTGATAATGTTGGTATTTTGATAGGGATTGTATTAAATATGTAGACTGCTTTGTGTAGAGTAGACATTTTAACAATATTTACTCTTCCTATCCGTGAGCATGGAATGTCTTTCCATTTCTTTCTCTTTTTTTTAAAATGCTTATTCATTTTTGAGAGAGAATGTGAGTGGGGGAGGGGCAGAGAAAGAGAAGGGCAGAGGATCTGAAGCGGGCTCTGTGCTGACAGCAGCAAGCCCAATGTGGGGCCTCGAAGTCACAAACTGTGTGAGATCATGACCTAAGCTGAAGTCAGATGCTCAACCAACTGAGCCACCCAGGTGCCCGTTTTTCTATTTCTTTGTGTCATTGTCAGTTTCTTTCATTAGTGTTTTATAGTTTTCAGAGTACAGGTCTTTTACCTCTTTGGTTAGGTTTATTTTTAGGTATCTTATTTTTGGTGCAATTGTAAATGGGATTGTTTGCTTAATTTCTGTTTCTGCTGCCTCATTATTGATGTATAGAAATGTAATAGATTTCTCTATATTGATTTTGTATCCTGAGACTTTACTGAATTCATTTATCAGTTCTAGCAAGTTTTTTTGATTGAGTCTTTAGGATTTTCTGTATATAATGTGTCATCTGAAAATAGAGTTTTACTTCTGCCTTACCAATTTGGATGCCCTTTATTTCTTTTTGTTGTCTGATTGCTGTGACTAGGACTTCCAGTACCATGTTGAATAAAAATGGTGAAAGTGGACGTCCTTGTCTTGTTCCCGACCTTAGGGAAAAAGCTCTCAGTTTTTCCCCATTAAGGATGATATTAGCTGTGGGTTTTTCATATATGGCCTTTTTGATGTTGAGGTATATTCCCTCTAAACCTACTTTGTTGAGGGTTTTTTGTCATGAATGGATGTTGTATTTTGTCAAAGGCTTTTTCTGCATCCATTGAAATGATTATATGGTTCCTGTCCTTTGCTTGTTGATCTGATGTATCATGTTGACTGATTTGTGAATATTGAACCACCCTTGCAACCCAGAATAAATCCCACTTGATCATGATGAATGATTTTTTTAATGTATTGTTAGATTCGGTTTGCTAATATTTTGTTGAGGATTTTTGCATGTATGTTCATCAGAGATATTGACTTGTAGTTCTGTTTTTTTTTTTTAAATTTTTTTTTTTCAACGTTTATATTTTTGGGACAGAGAGAGACAGAGCATGGAAGGGGCAGAGAGAAGAGGGAGACACAGAATCGGAACAGGCTCTTAGCTCTGGAGCCATCAGCCCAGAGCCTGTACGCAGGGACCTCAAACTCACGGACTGGCGGTACGTGACCTGGCGAAGATCCGGTACGCAACCGATCTGGCTCACCCAGGCTGCCCTAGTTTTTTTTGTGGTGTCTTTGTCTGGTTTTGGTATCAGGGTAATGCTGGCTTCATAGAATGAATTTGGAAATTTTCCTTCCTTTTCTGTCTTTTGGAATAGTTTGAGAAAAAGAGGTATTAACTCTTTAAATGTTTGGCACAATTTGCCTGGGAAGTCATCTGGTCATCTGGTCAAACTTTTGTTTGTTGGGATTTTTTGATTACTGATTCAATTTCTTTGCTGGTTTTCTGTCTAAATTTTCTATTCCTCCCTGTTTCAGTTTGGTAGTTTA